TGATGAGCTCCTGCGTCATTTTAGCAACCTATCAAAGATGCTCAAATGCGCCCAGCGCGGCAGACATCCACTTTTCAGCAACTCACTGATGTTGCCCATTCACAATAATCGTGTAGAACGCTTGCATTTGAGCATCGTAGTAAAGATGCTCAAAATTCCTTACAACGAATGCAGCTTTTCAGCAATATGTCAGCAACATTGCTCAATTCGAACAAGACAAGATGTGGAAATGCGAACGAAGTGCCGAAATGTGTCCGTCTTGACTTGTCTAATGCTGCTGAAACGCCGTTTTTTGGCTTTTTGCGCATCTCCGCAACGTTGCTACAATTCTAATGTTGCTGAAATGTATTATATTCCACGGTCACGCGCCGCATCCACATTTCGCGATGGCAGTCAGTGCTTTTTGGTATCTATCACGATATATCGTCACCATTTCCCAAATATCCACTATTCTCTACAGCTGCGCACGCCGTTTGAGGTCTACGGTCGCGCTAATTCGTTCTAATGTCGATGAGGGAGGTTGATTAATGTGTGTTACCGATGAGCTGAGGTTCATTCAGCCGGTTAGCCCCCAACTCAGCGAAACGGTCATGAAGATATGATCTGAACAGTTTACTTTCGTCCGCACTGCGTCACTCTTGGACAGTTGAGTGTCAATGTAGATCTTTATCGTTGGACGGATCATGATACTCTTCATAAAGTGTAGAAGATCTAGGGGCAATTCCACGATTAGCAGGTTGCACAGTCAACTGAGGTGGAGACCTATTTTGACACGCATCAAAATGTAGCGCGCGCCAGATAAACACTGAATAATTTGGTTGCCCTACACAAGATGTGTGGTTACAGTCACTCCCATCAAATCACAACAATTATCGCATCAACCAGGAAAAGCATCAACAGTGAGGCGTCTTAGCCAAGGCATTGTGGGCGAGAACATGTACAGGCAGCAACAATTGAGGCCTTTCATCGGCGATGTTCACGAACTGCTCATATGATAGACATGGATATATATCCTCTTCGCCACTAGCGCTTCCCTCCGGGGCAATTCCCAGATTGGCGTAGACCTCGTGGGCCTATCGGAAGGCCCGAAAATTGTCCCCAAAAGAACTGGACTTATCGTAGGCACACACATAACCCACCCGAGTGCGAACATC